TATTGTGTGTGTGTGTGTGTATGTGTTGTGTGTGCTGTGTGTGTGTGTGTGTGTGTGTGTGTGTGTGTGTGTGTGTGTGTGTGTGTGTGTGTGTGTGTTGTGTGTGTGTTGTGTGTGTTGTGTATGTGTTGTGTGTGCTGTGTGTGTATGTGTTGTGTGTGCTGTGTGTGTATGTGTGTGTGTGTTGTGTGTGTGTGTTGTGCGTGTGTGTGTGTGTGTGTGTGTGTGTGTGTGTGTGTGTGTGTGTGTGTGTGTGTGTGTGTGTGATGTGTGTGTGTGTGTGTGTGTGTGTGTGTGTGTGTGTGTGTGTGTGTGTGTGTGTGTGTGTGTGTGTGTGTGTGTTGTGTGTGTGTGTGTGTGTGTGTGTGTGTGTGTGTGTGTGTGTGTGTGTGTGTGTGTGTGTGTGTGTGTGTGTGTGTGTGTGTGTGTGTGTGTGTGTGTGTGTGTGTGTGTGTGTGTGTGTGTGTGTGTGTGTGTGTGTGTGTGTGTGTGTGTGTGTGTGTGTGTGTGTGTGTGTGTGTGTGTGTGTGTGTGTGTGTGTGTGTGTGTGTGTGTGTGTGTGTGTGTGTGTGTGTGTGTGTGTGTGTGTGTGTGTGTGTGTGTGTGTGTGTGTGTGTGTGTGTGTGTGTGTGTGTGTGTGTGTGTGTGTGTGTGTGTGTGTGTGTGTGTGTGTGTGTGTGTGTGTGTGTGTGTGTGTGTGTGTGTGTGTGTGTGTGTGTGTGTGTGTGTGTGTGTGTGTGTGTGTGTGTGTGTGTGTGTGTGTGTGTGTGTGTGTGTGTGTGTGTGTGTGTGTGTGTGTGTTGTGTGTGTGTGTGTGTGTGTGTGTGTGTGTGTGTGTGTGTGTGTTGTGTGTGTGTGTGTGTGTGTGTGTGTGTGTGTGTGTGTGTTGTGTGTGTGTGTGTGTGTGTGTGTGTGTGTGTGTGTGTGTTGTGTGTGTGTGTGTGTGTGTGTGTGTGTGTGTGTGTGTGTGTGTGTGTTGTGTGTGTGTGTGTGTGTGTTGTGTGTGTGTGTGTGTGTGTCGTGTGTGTGTTGTGTGTGTGTGTGTGTGTGTGTGTGTGTGTGTGTGTGTGTGTGTGTGTGTGTGTGTGTGTGTGTGTGTGTGTGTGTGTGTGTGTGTGTGTGTGTGTGTGTGTGTGTGTGTGTGTGTGTGTGTGTGTGTGTGTGTGTGTGTGTGTGTGTGTGTGTGTGTGTGTGTGTGTGTGTGTGTGTGTGTGTGTGTGTGTGTGTGTGTGTTGTGTGTGTGTGTGTGTGTGTGTGTGTGTGTGTGTGTGTGTGTGTGTGTGTGTGTGTGTGTGTGTGTGTGTGTGTGTGTGTGTGTGTGTGTGTGTGTGTGTGTGTGTGTGTGTGTGTGTTGTGTGTGTGTGTGTGTGTGTGTGTGTGTCTGCTAGAGTATTTATTATGATCAAAACAAAGTGCATTGTGAGCTCCTGGTGCAGTCGTGTCATGTGCAGTGACATTTAAACACGACTGAGTCGACCTGCTCATGGAGCTCTCCTATTTAAACACAATTCACAACACACAATTCATTATCATACAAATAAAATAAATAAACACATAAATAAATAAAAAATGTAAAATTGAAGTAACAATGTGTAAAATGACAAACATTTAAAAAGAGACAGAGCTGTTCTGATCACCTTTGTGCACAGCGTGAGAACCATGACAGAGCAGGGTGTGTCTGAGTCCAACCTGTTCAAACACACACACACTCACACACACACTCACACACACACTCACACACACACTCACACACACACTCACACACACACTCACACACACACTCACACACAGGGGTGGGTCCAGTGTCAGATAACACGCTAAACACACACATTCATACACATGTACACAAACACGTGTATGACACATAGACACGCTAAACATACACACACATGAACAACACACACACACATTACATTGATTTCCATTCATTTCCTGGAGACTGATCCTCACCTCAACCATGGTTTAGAACTGGTTTAGACCTGGTTTAGTCCTGGTTTAGTCCTGGTTTAGACCTGGTTTAGTCCTGGTTTAGACTTTTTTTAGTCCTGGTTTAGACCTGGTTTAGTCCTGGTTTAGTCCTGGTTTAGACCTGGTTTAGTCCTGGTTTAGACCTGGTTTAGTCCTGGTTTAGACGTTTTTTAGTCCTGGTTTAGACCTGGTTTAGTCCTGGTTTAGTCCTGGTTTAGACCTGGTTTAGACCTGGTTTAGTCCTGGTTTAGTCCTGGTTTAGTCCTTGTTTCTTGGCTCTTTTATTAAAACACTTCATGTTGGACTGTCTCTTGGATCAGCTCCGTTGTTTGACCTGGTGATAAATGCTCAGCGTGGACTTCCACACTAGTCCACCTCACTACTGTTTACACCAGGAGCAGGAGTCCAACCAGCAACCCTCAGATCAGAGGAGGAGCGAGGCAAGGTGTCTGAAGTGTCTTGCCTGAGGACATAATGACTAAAGGCACTGCTGCTCCACTGTTGTCCCTGGTGTTCCCACCATCCAAGTCCAAACCAGACCCAGGCGCTCCACAAAACCCATCTCACCATGTAGGACAAAAGGTGCTGTGGATATATGTGTCTGCATCTGACCCATCCTCCAGCATCTGACCCATGATCCTGGTCAGGAGAGCCAGCTGGACCTCACCCACGTGTAGTTTCACTAGCTCGGACCACACCAACAACGGCATAGTGTGAAGAAGTTTATTGATAATGTATGAGGCGGGGCAGAGATGGCTGGTTGAGACTATAGGTGGGGGCTCCATCTCAATCTTCAATTGGTCCAGCCGGAACGGGACCCCCCCCTTGTAGGGCTCTTATGACTGAAAGACAAAAAATAGGGGATGGGAGGGTGGGGTGGAGTGGGAAAGGCTGCTACATATAGACTTCTGGGAAATTGGAGGTGTGGTGGAGGTGAGTTGTGGTTCTCTGATGAGAGGAGAGGGCGACTGAGGCGTGCTCCTGCTCCTGAGTCTCACTTCATCATATTAACTCCATGTATTTGTGTGAACAAACTTTGGACTAAACATTCCTGAAATCCTCTTTTAGCTTCATGTGGTTGAGTGCAGCACAACTGAACAAAATCATGTCTGATCCAGAGATGAAGTACCAGGGGTTTGTTTCCATGTTGCAGACAAACCACAGACTGTAAATGAACATAACCACTGAGCTGTAAACAGGAAGTGAGCATGGGGACGTCTCTTGCTCCATCGACTCCAGTTGACTTTACATTGAAAAACTGTCCCCCTTCTCTCTGCACCTGCTGCTGTCAGACTACTCAGTTTTTGTGTTAAAATGTTTGTATTAAACCACTCTACATGATCCTGGTGTTTTTATTTCACTATAGGCTCTACACACTGACATCACAAACCAGGAAGATGTTTGGAAAGATGCAATGACAACTTTCTGCAAACTCTGTTCACGGTACTAAATCTGACAAAATCTGTGAAAAATAAGAAAATGTCCCAGTTTTCTTCATCTCTATGTCATTGTAGTGTTCTGTTATGTTCGACGAATCAACAATTCCAACCACATCTCAGTTTTCATCATTTCTCCACTGACACACAACTCTGAGTGCACTGGTACATGTGATTAGAAGAGATGAGGGACAAATTCCAGATGATTCAAACAGCACATACATCTGCAGTCTTCATTTTACCACTGATCACATTTACTTCAGTGGGTTTGATCACAGTCGGTCGGTGAGTCCAGTGTCGGGAACTACACCAGATGTTGTTATCGCATCTTTCCAATTGTCTTCCTGGTTTGTGACATAAGCGTGAATAGATAATATTTTGTCCCTTAATAAATTCCTGCCCCTCATGCTCCAAATTTGCCCCATAACGGCAGACATCATGAGCTTCATTTGACTGGAGCTGAGAGCTGTGGGCGACGTCACACTCACTTCAGGTCCACGTGTACAAGACCTCCTGCTTCTCCTTCTCTGCTCACCCAGGTGCATTGTGGTCTACACCCAGGTGCATTGCGGTCTACACTAGGGATGGGCATTCGATGAAATTTTCTTAATCGATCGTTGGAAGAATTAACGATTGATTATCGATTAATCATTAACGTTTTTATATTAAAATGATCATCATTATTATTACTATCTGCACTACTAATCTGCATAAATAAATTCAACTTTACGACATATAAACCGTAACCACTCTAGAGCCACATCAGCTGTTTGACATTATAATGTGTTTAATGTAGCTTTGCACAACTCTCACAGAAACAAAACTTAAAACCGCATCGCTAATTTGCATAAACTAAGCAAAGATAAAACTACAGCTCTTGTGTCGCTGATGTGGTCAATTTCTGTCAGACTAAAGGACATGACTCAGGTGAATACAGGTTAGTGTGAACATATTTGTGTTTGTTAAAACCAGGACACCGTACGGCGGGGGGAGGGAGGTGGGGACTCGTCATCGACATTCTCTCACCTGGTAAAACTTTTTTACACCGACACATATGTGCTGCTTTGTTCACTGTGCACATGAACTCACACTTGTCCCGAACACAAAGGAAAGCGTGGAATTTCTTGTACAAATCATCGTTAAATCCACATTTGTGCTTCGGTACGTTGCAGACTGACCCACTGTTTGTGTCTTGTTCCTTCTGATGCAGAGACACATGTACACACCTGTTTGGTCACGATACACACAGCAACCTACATTCAGTTTGTTGATTAAAATTAGCGTAATTGATGAAATTCTTAATGATCAATTATCGATTAATCATGAACATCCTTAGTCTACACCCAGGTGCATTGTGGGCTGCGTCTCATTTCTCTTTCCTCATTTCCTTCTCCCTGATTCCTCTCCTTGATCCTCCATTGTCTAAGGATGTGCATTGCCTTGAGTCTGACGATACGATACATATCATGATTCACATGTCACGATTCAATATATCACCATATATCCCGATACTAAACAGTGATGATATATTGCGATTTATGAATAATTCTAATAATACAGTCAACTACACCTTCAAGAGAACACAATTGCATGAACTATCATTTTTATATTTATTTTTAAATCATGAGAACAGTGAAGAGAACAGAAAAATTCAGTGAATGAATTTTTATGAAAATTTTAAAAATCGATTCGGATCCATTTTGAATCTATTTGAGAATTGCGCAGTGAAGTATCACAATATATCACTGAATCGATTTTTTCTTACACCCCTACCAGCTGTCAGTCAAATGTGTCATACTATGTGTTGTGTGTACAGTCCCCCAGTCGTCCAGTAGAGTCCGTGGCTGATTTGTCAACTTTTGTCCAGTTGACAAGTTGAATTTCTCCTTTGTCCATGAAGCGTTGTTCCAAAGAAAAGCACAGAAAGAAGAAGTAAACCTGATGAGGTTCAGGAGCAGACATGAGAGAAAAGAATCCACCTTTATTGTTGTGGTGGACGAGTTGATATCCTCTCTCGTCCCTGTGTCTCCTCTGTGGGTGGGACTCACTTCCTCACCCGTTTCCTGCAGAATCAAATGAGAAATGATTCCTCTCCTCCATTCTGAACTTAACCAGAGGAAAGGTGCCAAGGTCAGAAATTACACAAAACAAATCAGCAAAAATATTGTGTATAACAAATCTGCAAATGAGCACAAACTAAATCGATAACTACTCTAATATTACTGTGAAACGTGTCAGAACAGTTTTGACATTAACAATATGTTTTGTATAATATAATAAAACTTGAATATGTCCATTGAAGACGTCGCCAGCTTTAAATGCAGGAACATGTTTTTTTCAAGAGGCAAATACAAAACAATAAAATATACACTTTAATATAACAGAAAATGTACACATTTTGCATCACATATTTTTGTCTGTTGAGCATTTGAAAACCGCAAAATGTCACTGACTCAGAAACAAAAATAACTCAACTCTACACAGACTGTACACATGCTCCTACACACAGACTGTACACATGCTCCTACACACAGACTGTACACATGCTCCTACACACAGACTGTACACACAGACTGTACACTACACACAGACTGTACACATGCTCCTACACACAGACTGTACACATGCTCCTACACACAGCTCACATGCTACACACAGACTGTACACATGCTCGTACACACAGACTGTACACATGCTCCTACACACAGACTGTACACATGCTACACACAGTACACACATGCTCCTACACACAGACTGTACACATGCTCCTACACACAGACTGTACACATGCTCGTACACACAGACTGTACACATGCTCGTACACACAGACTGTACACATGCTCCTACACACAGACTGTACACATGCTCCTACACACAGACTGTACACACACACACAGACTGTACACACAGACTGTACACACGCTCCTACACACAGACTGTACACACGCTCCTACACACAGACTGTACACACAGACTGTACACACGCTCCTACACACAGACTGTACACATGCTCGTACAGCAGGTGTGGATCTGAGCCAGGAGGATTCTAAAGGGACTAATGACTTTGTGCAGTGAACCACTTCAGGGCAAAGCTGTTTATTTAGCGTTGTTAATCATCTATTTATAGCCTAAACTATCACTGATTTATACCATGACAAAAGATCCATGTGACAAAGCACTAATCACGTTGTGACGTCACTAGCAGAACAAGTAAGACTCATTTCCTTATGGTCTACTTGATATTCTACTTACGAAACACTGGGCTTTTTGGCCTTGATTATCACGTGTAGCTGCGTCATTTTCAACCATGTAAACATGCTCAACTTTTCTATATATATTTTTTTTAATTTATATTTTTTAAATTCAGATAAACGATGTAATATACAGTGGTATAAACAATATCATGACTAGAAGCTTCAGAATTCACATTCCCAGGGCTCAGCGTGCGCAGTATAATAAATACATTTACATTTTATATTTTAAATTTACTTTTGTTTTCATGGCGTTGAGATTTGTGACATAAATTAGAGAATCTAGGACAAGAGGGACTGAAATACAACCAATTTGGGTTTTTGACTAGAAAATGGATATGACATTTTGATAGGATTAGGATAAAGTTCAACACATATTTTTTCAGCAGGAGTATTTTTCTCAGACAACTAAAAGTACATGTTTTGTATTAAATTGTAAGTTTGTATTAAATTTGCTATTCACAAAAATATGTCATTCCAAAAGATTTAAGCGTATGAGGAAAAAAAAAAAAAACTTTTCTCACTTTCCCTGTGCGTAAAGTCCAGGCCCCGCCCCTGCCGCGTCACCACTCCGTACCTGAGACAAACTCGTCCAGACGCGACATTTGACACTTCACCCATCGCTCCGTGTTTCCCTCTCCCACACGCCCCCTCCGCGCCCGCCTCTGACCCGGCTACAGCCCCTCGCCTCCTCCGTGGAACCCTCCGCTCTGAGCTCCGGAGCCACCGAGCCTCCGCGCCGCGCCGTACACGGGCCGCAGCTCCAGGATGGCGGCCGTGAAGGCGCTGCAGCAGTGGTGCCGGGTCCAGTGCGAGGGCTACCGGGACGTGAGCATCACCAACATGACCACCAGCTTCAGGGACGGACTGGCCTTCTGCGCGCTCATCCACCGCCACCGGCCCGACCTCATGTGAGTACCGGGAGGACGGACCGGACCGGGGGGTTACGCGCTGGCTTCTCCGGGGGGTTGTAGCTCCATGTTCGGGGAACGAGTGGGAAGAACAACTTGGCGCACAAAGACTTTTATTTTCCAAAGTTTAAAAGTCTCGTATTACACTATTTTCTCAGCTGGTCTAAGGTTTCCTCATCCCAAACATCCTGCTGTTGTGTTTTGTTTCATTCACACGTTTAACACACAAACCCTGCACATTTACACCGAGTTCTTTTCTCAAACAGAAAACACGCCGTACTCCACTGTGTTTTTAAACTCCATTCACCTTCACTAGAATCATTTGGATCATTTCAGCCGTGGAATTGTCGATCTCTTCTGGACTTAAGGTCAAAGGAGCTGAACTTTAAAAGTACCGCTTCGTGACATCACAAGGTGAAACAGAGTGTTTGGTGATGTACACAGACTAATAATAAAGAGTTACTCAAACATTGTGAATGAAACAAAACACAACTCCAGCTCTGTTCATGTCATGAGGAGGTAACAACATTATAACACGACTAAAAGTAAAAAAAAAAAAAAAAAAAAAAAAAAAGAGTCATTTTTGCATAATTAAGGCGGAGCTAAAGACCAGTGTGACATATGAGTGGTGCAAGAAGTACTCACTCTTGTTTCTGAAGTAAAAGTACAGATACAGAGGCAGCAAGTTACTCAGGTAAAACTTAAAGTAGTCAGTGTTGGGGAGTAACAGATACAGATTACATGTACCGGAGTTATGTAATCAGAGTACAAATTATGAGTAACTGTATTCAGTTACAGTTACTGTTTCAGTGAGTGGTAATTGGATTACAGTTACTTGGTTGAAATAAATGGATTACACGGTAGCATTTTCCTGTTTTCACATTTTGGGCGATATCCCTTTTTTTTTTTTTTTTTTTTTTGGTAATTCCACTCATTGCCGAACACTAAACCAGGTCCAAACCAGTTTAAAACCAGGTCTAAAACCAGGTCTAAAACCAGGTCTAAAACCAGGACTAAACCAGGACTAAACCAGGTCTAAACTAGGTCTAAACTAGGTCTAAACCAGGTCTAAAACCAGGTCTAAAACCAGGTCTAAAACCAGGTCTAAAACCAGGTCTAAACCAGGTCTAAAACCAGGTCTAAAACCAGGTCTAAAACCAGGTTTAACTAGGTCTAAGCCAGGACTAAACCAGGTCTAAAACCAGGTCTAAAACCAGGTCTAAACTAGGTCTAAACCAGGACTAAACCAGGTCTAAAACCAGGTCTAAAACCAGGTCTAAACTAGGTCTAAAACCAGGTCTAAACTAGGTCTAAACCAGGACTAATCCAGGTCTAAAACCAGGTCCACACCAGGTATAAACCCAGGTCCAAACCAGTTCTAAACCAGGTCTAAATCCAGGTCTAAAACCAAGTCTAAACTAGGTCTAAACCAGGACTAAACCAGAACTAAACCAGGACTAAAGGAGAACTAAAGCAGGACTAAAACCAGGTCTAAGCCAGGACTAAAACCAGGTCAAAACTAGATCTAAACCAGGACTAAAACAGGATTTAACAGGACTAAATCATGCTGCATGGTCCATGTCTCCTCTTCTTCTATCAATAATATTTTAATATGTTCAGTATCAGTTCAGTAAAGTTTGGGCTTTTTATTGTTTTTTTTTATCAGACAAAACATCTTATGTGACGATTTCCTCATCTTTGCTTCTCTACAGCAAATCAAGTAATCCAAAGTATTCAGATTACGTTACTCACTTTAATGGATTCTGTTACAAACTACATTTTGGGGTATGTAATCTGTAATCTGTAGGGGAATACATTTTAAAAGTCACCTTCCCAACACTGAAAGTAGTCCTGTAGGATTCACATAAAACATCTGCTGAAGTAGTAGTACTGAAGTAAACGTCGGCCCACGTTTAGAGTAAAAGGTCAAAATATTTCACGTCACTTACTGTTTAAGTGTTAATGACAACAACCATGAATCATTTCCTTTATTTCTCTAGTGATTTTCATGTAGGGGTTTGCAAAAATCTCAAAATCTCAAGATATATCATACTGTTTCATGTGATGATACAGTATCGATATCGTGAGCTGCTGTATCGATATATCAGCAAGAGTATTTTTTGGTATATTTACTGAATTATTTTGTCTCAGCGCTACAGTTTTGTTGTTTGTTTAGGGGAAGGAAACTTGTTTATGCGACACATTTGACATTTTCACAGTTTTGGTGATTAAAATGTTTGTGTTTCATTTGAACTTTGCACAAGAAGTGGTTTAACACAGCTCACTGTATCGACATGTGGATCGTATCGTGGTCTATGTATTGAAGTATGTATCGTATTGGCAGCTTCTTAATGATACATTACTGAATGCTCTGTGCTCTGATGGTGAAGTAAAAGTAAAAAGTTTCCACTGTCAGCTTTAACATACAGGTATCATACTTAAAGTAGTCCAGTTGTGCAAAATCAGAGCTTCTAGTTGACCTTCACTCACCTGAGCTTGTATGTGGAGTTTGGATTGGTGCATGTTTGAATTTTCTTTATTTTCAAGCACATCAACCACCGGTCCACACCTTCTGCTCTACTTCTACTTCCTTCTCCACTTTTATTTATTGATTTTCAGTGTTGGGGAGTAACAGATTACTTGTACCGGAATTATGTAAGCAGAGTACAAATTATGAGTAACTGTATTCAGTTACAGTTAATGTTTCAATGAGTGCAACAGTAACAGTAACCCCCCAGGTCTAAAATCAGGTCTAAAAGCAGGTCTAAACCAGGTCTAAAATAAGGTCTAAAACCAGGTCTAAAACCAGGTCTAAAACCAGGTCTAAATCCAGGTCTAAATCCAGGTCTAAATCCAGGTCTAAAACAGGACTTAACAGGAGTAAATCCTGCTGTGTGGACGTGTCTCCTTGTCGTCTATCAATAATATTTGTAATATGGTTAAGTAAAGTCTGGGCTTGTCATTGTTTTTTATCAGATAAAACATCTTACGTGAAGATTTCCTGGTCTTTAACACCAAACCAAATAATCCAAAGTATTTAGATTACATTACTCACTTTAAGTAATTTAATGAATTCCGTTACAAACTACTTTTTGGGGCATGTAATCTGTAATCTGTAGGGGAATACATTTTAAAAGTCACCTTCCCAACACTGTTGATTTTCTTAAAAGTGCAGCTCTCCATACGACAGGTCGACTCTTTGTTGTGATGATGTTTATGACGACGTCAGCTCCCACTGGACCACACTTTACTAAAACAGAACACAGCGCATTTGTTTCTTTTATTAAGTTTTTTTGGATCAATATTGTGATTTAAAATGTTCAAATTCTAAACATAATAGAGTGATCCACGAGACTCATAGATTGTAAATATAGCAGACACAAGCATTATATGTGTTCTTTAAGTGGGACTACAGTACTTTTTGTACTTTTTGTACTTTGTTACTGGGGACTACTCTATAAACGCCCGTGACAGTTTTAACATTCGCAGCTGGAGCCTGTTTCTGATCCTAATGATTGAAATGTTTCCATGAAGAAATCAAAGTGGAAATGGAAGTGTGTACGTCACAGTGGTGGTGAAAATGGTGCTATCTTGCAAATTGGTGTCTTAAAAACAGGATAGAATAAAGCAGAATACAGCACAAATCACTCCAAATACAATTTCAGAGGGTCAGTGAGAAAAAACGACTTTAACTCTAACTATTTGCAGAATGTGATTACACAATATTCATGAAAAAGGCCAAAAAATTCTAAAAATAAAACTAGTTTGTTGCATTTTTATGTTTTAAACTGTCGAATCTCTGTCTCCTCCTCCCCTGATGATTCTCACAGGTTTTTCTATAAAAGGAAAATTAGATTAACATAAGTTTTTGAAGCACTTCCTCACACTTGAGTACAATAGGTCAGATACGGAACAAAGAGCACACTCCTGTTTAATGATCTGCACAAACATGTTCTGAAATGTAATTCTTGTTCTAGATTGTCTGTTCACACTTCAGTCTCTTTGCCAATTCTTCTCTAACCACATTTGAAGGCACTAGAGCTGTACCAGAGCAAGAAGAAGAGCACATAGACTAGTACAGAAGTTTAGTAGTACACACATGGACCACTGAGGATTACACACATATAAAACACAAAGGAACAGAAAAGAAAGTACTGCCATTTAATATTGTCTAAGTGTTTTTATTTTAATTGTGGGATTGGATTCTGTATCGAGTATCAAGTCTGTTCCATTTTATTGAAACTGAGTATCATGACAAAACTAATCTTTACAGAGGTGTATTAAGCCAGTGTGGCGCCCCCTGTCTTCCTGTCAAAAATAATACACATAAACAAGAGCGTTTTTCATATGTGATTTACTAACTACATCAGCCCAGCAATTAAACTGAAAATAACTTACAGCATCCAACTACAGACATGCAGTGTTGTGGAGTAACAGATTACATGTACCAGAGTTACGTAATCAGAGTACAAATTATGAGTAACTGTATTCAGTTACAGTTACTGTTTCAGTGAGTGGTAATTAGATTACAGTTACTTTGTTGAAATAAATGGATTACACGGCGGCATTTTCCTGTTTTTCCGGGGTTTTTGTGAACCGTCTAGTGTATTCTGAGTCCTGACCTAGTGGCTGGAGAGAAATAAACTTGAGTGGAGGCACTAGATGGCACCAGCCTGACTGGATATAACTTAACAACATCCAACTAAATTATATACAATACAAAGAGGCATATTTAAACTGATGCTTGTTGATGTCTGTCCATTTTTCATTTCTGCCACAGTTTTTAAATTTTTTTTACATTTGCACAAACTTGTGGACTGACTCATCTGACAGATTGGGGGGAAGGGGGACAAATGGTCATGTAATTTAAATTTGTTCAGTATTATCATTATTATTATTGCTTCTATTATGAAATTAGTGTTAATGAAGAATTATGGATGGCCAAATTTACTCAAATATTTTTAAAGTTTGTGTCATGTGGTGCCCCCCACTGGTTGTGAATGGCTGGTGCCCCTGGGCATCGTGTCACTGGTCCATATGAATAATCCAGCCTTGAATCTCTGTGTATCTAACCCATACTGCACACGACTACACCTGCAGGGGGAGTTCAAGCAGAAACTACTATTTAGACAGAAAAAAGTACCCCGAAACAATATTTATTAATCTAATTGTTTTCTCATGGATACCAAAAAATACCAAATCTTCAGCTCACTCACTTCTCCTTTCTGCTCTTGTCCCTTTTAAATCCTGATCATAAAGAGAAATAAAACACATTTTGTTCGACTAAAGAACTTAGTGTTGTTACGATACAAATTTTGATACTCAGGAACAGACTCGATACTCAAGACTAATTCCAATACCACAACGATAATAAAAAACCTTCTTTCTTTAGACAATATACTGTGATTTTCAACATTAAATTCCCACGTGTGTTATATCTGGTCTAAAGTTATTGAGGAAAGGTTCATTTCTGTCCTGTGAATGTGACTTTTTTAGAATCAACATCTGCTCAAATGAGTATCTAGTTTCGATACTAGCGTTAGTATCGATTAGTATGTGATTTTCGATACTTTCAACAGCCCTCCAGCACATCTTTGTCATTCCTGTCGTGTGTGCTGTGTGTGTTGCAGAGATTTTGACGCCCTGAAGAAAGAAAACGTTTACGACAACAACAAACTGGTGAGACGTGTTTGTGTGTTCTTAAGCGTGTGGGGTTTGGACTTTGGAGTTTTTAAAAGTGAAAGTAACATTCCGCTGTGATGAGAATGGTTGGGGCCTGTCTGAGCCTGCTCCTCTCACACTCACTCCTCTTATTATCTTATTTATAACAGTCCCATGACATTAGGCCTTAGAATTCCTATATCGAATTATCCTTGGTATAAGCTGGGACAATCTTTTTGGAGCTCCATTTTCACCCTGTGTCCAGTTTCTTTGCAGTAGTGTTGGGATTTGAGCCATTTCTCTGACCCGAGCTGTGGAGTGGAGAATGAATCACCTCTGTGGAGAATGATCGGTTCATTCTGTTTTGGTACACTATGTAACTTTTTGGTTGTGGGTCCATCACCTGTTTGTTTCTGTGGAGATGTCATTACTGTGCCTGGAATGTTCCACAGTGTGACATTAAATAGCTCTACTTTACATTTATTCAGTTACAGGCGGTTTTACAGCTCAAAAATCCCCAGAAAAACAGACATTGTGACTGTGAGCGAGGTCGCCTCTCCACAGATCTGACCTGTAACTTGTTCTGGTTTGGTCTCCATGAAGACAGAAAGCTTTAAATGCCATACTGTGAAACATTCCAGACAAAGCAATAACATCTCTATGGAGAAAAGTGTTTGACAAACCCTCCACCATCAGATTGTCCTGGTTTATTGTTACTGTGTCAGTGTAAAGTCATTTCACAGGCCAGTAATTTTGGTTGAAATATTGTTAAAATAACCTCAGATTTTCACAGAATGTACAGAAACAGATCAAGATTTTATATTTAAGGTTTTATTTTTTGTTCTGTTTTCAGGTTGAGTTGTTCATCTCAAAGAGAAGTCATCGTGCATCTTTGAATCTGCTGCACACACTCACCAAACACTGTGCAGCTTCAATGCAACATTTGGAAAAACTTCACCAACTGGCAAACAAATTTGGACTTGGTACCAAAAATGTGCAGAGTTCGGGTGCTTGTGCAGGGATAAAGGATCTGGTTCCAACATCAACATCAGAAAAGAAGGTTGAGCAAGTTTGTGAAAAACTCTTGTGAAGCCCCAAGAAGTCTGTAAGGAGAACAAGTTTGGAAAACCAGATTCCTCGAATGACGGTTTGGTGTAGCAGATCCTTTAGCCCTGCAGAAGCATTTTTGGTACCAGTGTGTGGGTGAGTGTGTGCAGCAGATTCCAAGATGCACAAAGACTTCTCTTTGACAGTGAGCGACTCAACTTGAAAACACAACAAATACTTGGAGTTAATATGATGAAGTGAGATTCAGGAGCAGGACTGGGCCTCAGCCGCCCTCTCCTCTCACCAGAGAACCACAACTCACCTCCACCACACCTCCAATTTCTCAGAAGCTTATTTGTAGCAGCCTTTCCCATCATCCCTGTTTGTCTCGGCGAACTCCACCCCACCCTCCCACCCCCTATTTTTTGTCTTTCAGTCATAAGAGCCCTACAAGGGGGGGGGTCCTGTTCCGACTGGGCCAATTGAAGATTGAGATGGAGCCCCCACCTATAGTCTCAACCAGCCATCTCTGCCCCGCCTCATACATTATCAATAAACATCTTCGCACTATGTCGTTGTTGGTGTGATCCTAGCTCGTGAAAAAACATTAAATGTAAAATCTTGATCTGTTTCTGTACATTCTGTGAACATTTTAGGTTATTTCAACAAGAATCAGCAAAATTATTGTACTGTGAAATGATGTCAATATTTGTTTGTAAGTATATGATGTCTGAGTGTTCTGGTGACAGGCCTAGAGGACGAGCACCGTGTGGATTAGTGATGAGACAAAACTCCAAACTGTCTGTCACTGAGTCAGGTTATATAATGGTGCATTGTAATGGACAGACATGGGCTTTACCTGCACACTCAGTTACTCATATTAAACACACAAGGAACTCTGTGAAAATCAACTTGCAAAACTGTAAATCTGGATCATGTGTTCTCCGCATTTGACCCATCACTGAATCAGGACCAAAAAAATCTGCATCAGGCGTCTGTTCATGAGCTCAGTTCAGTCTCCTGCTTGTGTCTTTATGTTTGAATGTGTGAAGAAATGTCATAATGTTTGGACGTGTTTTTAATTCACTCAAATCTGCTCTGGAGTAACACGAGGAATAAACAAGAGTTACATAACACAGAAATAAAAGTCTTACCCTGCACTGGCTTATCCTGGGGATCACCCAAGTGTCAACATCTTATCAGAGCTAAAAAAAAAAACAAAAAAGAAAGAAAAAAAGACAGATTGGTCCACCCCTCTCCTTTCCTGTCTTCTGTCTGTCCCTCAGGTCCCTGTCTCACCCTGCGTTGTCCCTGTCTCACTCTGTTGTCCCTGTGTGTCCCTCAGGTCCCTGTCTCACTCTGTTGTCCCTTTCTCACTCTGCGTTGTCCCTGTCTCACTCTGTTGTCCCTTTCTCACACTGTGTTGTCCCTGTCTCACTCTGCGTTGTCCCTGTCTCACTCTGTTGTCCCTTTCTCACACTGTGTTGTCCCTGTCTCACTCTGTTGTCCCTGCGTGTCCTCAGGCCTTCAGCGTTGCCGAGCAGGAGTTGGGTATTCCTGCCCTCTTGGACGCAGAGGACATGGTGGCCCTGCGAGTCCCCGACCGCCTCAGTATCCTCACATACGTGTCCCAGTACTACAACTACTTCCACGGGCGCTCCCCCAGTGAGTACCTCACACCACCCCCCCGTACAGAACCTTACACACACCACCCCCCCGTACAGAACCTTACACACACCACCCCCCCGTACAGAACCTTACACACACCACCCCCGTACAGAACCTTACACACACCACTCCCCCGTACAGAACCTTACACACACCACCCCCCCGTACAGAACCTTACACACACCACCCCCACAGAACCTTACACACACCACTCCCCCGTACAGAACCTTACACACACCACTCCCCGTACAGAACCTTACACACACCACCCCCCGTACAGAACCTTACACACACCACCCCCACCACCCCCGTACAGAACCACACCACCACCCGTACAGAACCTTACACACACCACCCCCGTACAGAACCTTACACACACCACCCCCGTACAGAACCTTACACACACCACCCCCCGTACAGAACCTTACACACACCACCCCCGTACAGAACCTTACACACACCCCCCCCGTACAGAACCTTACACACACCACCCCGTACAGAACTTACACACACCCCCGTACATTACACACACCACCCCGTACAGAACCTTACACACACACCCCCGTACAGAACCTTACACACACACCCCCCGTACAGAACCTTACACACACCACACACACCACCCCGTACAGAACCTTACACACACCACCCCCCGTACAGAACCTTACACACACCACCCCCGTACAGAACCTTACACACACCACCCCCCGTACAGAACCTTACACACACCACCCCGTACAGAACCTTACACACACCACCCCCGTACAGAACCTTACACACACCACCCCCCCGTACAGAATTTACACACACCCCCGTACAGACCTTACACACACCCCGTACAGAACCTTACACACACACCCCCCGTACAGAACCTACACACACACACCACCCCGTACAGAACCTTACACACACCACCCCCGTACAGAGCCTTACACACAGCACCCCCGTACAGAATCTTACACACAGCACCCTATAGCACCTCACACACAGCACCTCATACACAGAACACCCCACTCACAGCACCCCACAGACAACACCCTATAGCACCTCACACAGAGCACCCCTCAGTGCACCAGAGAGCACCCTACACAGAGCACCTCACCAAGAGCACCTCACAGCGCACCCCACAGCACCCCGCACAGAGAGCACCCCGCACAGAGAGCACCCCGCACAGAGAGCACCCCGCACAGAGAGCATCCCACACACACAACACCGCACACGCAGAACACCCCACACTCAGCACCCCTCACACAACACCCTATAGCACCTCACACAGAGCACCCTACACAGAGCACCTCACAAAGAGCACCCCGCACAGAGCACCCCACAGCACTCAACATGGAGCACCCCCACACAGAGCACCCCGCACAGAGCACCCCGCACAGAGCAGGCTGAGGCAGCAGGGGGCTGGGTGAGGGGGAGGGGGCAGTGCATTGAGAGCTTGTGTCTGTTGGCATGGCAACCGCACATTCTCACATTCACAACATTCTAAACGGCCTATTCATGACTTTCAGTTTCCTGTTTATAGGCTCTTACTTTTCACCATTCAGAAGATAAAGTATTTTGTTTAATTACCATGGCAACAGTGCTAATCTTCAGTACTCTGAAACCCATGGATACTTGAAAATAGAGGAGGAAAATGTTGCCTGTTGTTTAAAGATGCAACTCTTTGGTAGAAGGTAGAGCTCTAGCCTGCAATGATCTACAGATTAAACTTTTCTATCTCCATGGCGACCAGCATGTGACACTACCAGGTCAAGTTACAGGTCAGATCCCTGAAGAGGTGACCCCACTCACTGTAAGAATGTTTCTCCATAGATTTTGAATAATAAAAACACAAGTAATTGTGCTAGATACTACGATCGATTTAATGCCATAGTGTGGAATATTCCAGGCAGAAAAATCACATCTCCTTGGAGACAAGCAAACTGGTGCACCCTCCACCAAAAAGTAGGACGTAAACATAGTGCACCTTTAACTGGGCCTGTCCATATGAAACACAAACTATCCAGAGGTGGGTAGACTACCATATTTTCCGGGCTATTAGTCGCTCTGGATTATAAGACACACTGTCATTAAATGGTCTATTTTCGAACTTTTTTCACAAATAAACCACACCGGACTTTAAAGGAAACACAACAGTGTGATGGGTGAGTGGTTTTGTTTGTTTGTTTGTTCACGGTGACTCTGGGCTTTGTTCAGTTGTGGCGTGTAGGGAGGGTGCTGTCTGGGACCAACGGATTGTCGGTGTGTTCACAGTGACTCAGTTGTTCAGTTGTGTCTAGAAGTGGCACATTGCACTCACTTTTTCGGTTCGTTCCTTTGTTCCGTTCCTCGTCGGCGTGGAGTGATGAGTGTGTCTGCGGGTGTTTTTGGCTGCGCAGTCGCTGTCTGCTCCGTGTGTGTTTGTGTGTTCTGTGAAATTTTTATGTCCAATATGTAGAAAATTACGATTAACCATGTGTCCAGTGAAGTGGACATCATGCATCACAGAGTATATATTTTTTTAACACAAGCCATATAATTGCTTTACTGTTTCGGGCACTTCAGGAGACATTCAAGGCAGCAGCAGACCCTGAAGAATTTCAGTCAGTTGATGAGCAGATCATTCCTTTCAAAAGCCTACTGTCCGTCAAACAATTCATACCAAAAAAGCCCAAACCCTGGGGAGTGAAAGTGTGGGTGACGGCAGGAACCTCAGGCTATATGAACAGATTCGAAGTGTACCAAGGCTCTGCAAGTAGTGGTCACATCATTGGATTGGGAATGGTTGGAGATGTGGTGATGCATCTTTGTGATGACATAAAACATAGCATTCCACTCATTGAGGCCTTGAAAGACCAAAGCATCTATGGCACAGGTACATGCAGAGCAAACAGGCTGAAGGGAGCAAATCAGAAACTCAAGAGTGAAAAACAACTGAAAGAAATGGGCAGAGGAGCTTGCTGTGTTGTCAGCAATAATGGGCTTTGTTCAGTTGTGGCGTGTAGGGAGGGGGCTGTCTGGGACCAATGGATTGTCAGTGTGTTCACAGTGACTCAGTTGTTCAGTTGTGTCTAGAAGTGGGACATTGCACTCACTTTTTCGGTTCGTTCCTCCATTTTATTCCTCGTCGGTGTGGAGTGATGAGTGTGTCTGTGGGTGTTTCTCTGTGTGGTCGCTGTCTGCTCCGTGTGTGTTTGTGTGTGTCTGCGGGTGGTGCAGCTTTGTAGTTTACTGAAGTCGTGCTGGGACACCCGAGTGGATTCGTGTATAGGGCGCTCTGGATTGTGGGGCATGGAGTTGGAGGCTTAAAAGTACGGAAGCCGAGATGGGGTCACAACAAACGCCACAACACAACAAAAAGCCACAACAAACCAAAAAAAGTCACAACGGAAGTGACTGTGGGACCCTATTTTAATGCAAACACATTAAAAAGCCACAACACATTAAAAGGCCACAACAGAAGTGACCGCGGGACTCTATTTTCTGAGGGACCGATCAAGCGGCAAGTGAAGAAGAACTACAATGTGAAAAGTAAAGGAACGGAGAAGTTGGAAACATAAGTAAAAGTGATTTATAGTTTTATCATTATTCCTTTAACGTTGTAGTTCTTCTTCTTCACTTGCCGCTTGATCGGTCTGTCGGAAAATAGAGTCCTGTGGTCACTTCCATTGTGGCTTTATAATGTGTTGTGGCTTTTTAATGTGTTGCGGCTTTTGCGTTTGTGTTGTGGTGTTTGTATTTGTTGCGCTGTTTACATTAAAATAGAGTCCCACGGTAATTTCCGTTGTGGCTTTTTGTTGTGTTGTCGCATTTGTATTTGTTGCGGTGTTTGCATTTGTTGTGACCCCTCTCGGCTTCTGTATCAGAGCACATCTAATAGCCCGGAAAATACGGTACCCAAAAATTATACTCAAGAGTAACGTTACTTCAAATTAGTATTACTTATGTAGAAGTGGTCCAAGAAAATACTCAAGTAAGAGTAAAAAAGTATTTGATAAAACTACTAATCAAGAAAGAGTAACTTAAAGAGTAACAAATGTTCAAATCATGTTATATTGTCAACACAACACTTTTGACAATATACAAGTACTTATGCTTAAGAGTACTGTTACTTCAATAAAAATGAGTAAATGTAAGTGAGTACTACCCACCTCTGAAACTAGCAGTCATTTTTCGTCAGCACAAACGAAAGACGTAAAGTTGTGTAGTCATCTTAGCCTCAGAAAGCTGTGGCATGATTGGATTAGAAAGACGTGGTTGTAGTCAGTAGATTTCATAAGACTGATTTGGTAAGTTTGTGTTTTTGTCAGTTTGCTCTTTCAGAAACTGTGACTCATTCCCTGACTTCCACAAAAGTGTGAGATCACTTCTGGGTCCAAGGCTCCTCGACTGATTGAAAACAATGGACGTGATTCCTCTGCTCTCACGTGTAAAAAAAAAAAATAATAATAATAATAATAATTTAGTTTAAATACAATCTGACACTATTTTCTGATCTGTTTTCTGATGTAGTTTCCTCATCACACACACACCTGGAGTTGTGTTTTGTTTCATTCACACATGTTTAACTCAAGCCCTGCACATTTAAACTGACTTATTCTCTCAAACAGAAAACACTCCTTGTGATGTCATGTGGTAATACAAGAAGTGCCACTGTGTTTTTAAACTCCATCCATCTTCACCAGAATCATTTGGAAAATTTCAGTCCTGGAATTTCCAATCTCTTCAGAATTGAAAGTAAAAGGAGCTTCCAAAGCACTGGGGTATGTAGAATAATAATAAAGGATTAGTCATGTGAATGAAACAAACACAACTGCTTTTGAGAAGGTAACAGTATTTTAACAGAGCTAAAAGCTCTCAACAATCAATTTCTCATAATATAGAAGCTTTAAAAGTGTGTCAGAAATTGTACGAGGTTGGTACAAAGACAGTCTATGTGAACGTGACTGGCAGTTAGTGACATATACTCACTTGTAAATATACTTTATGATAGACTATTACTATATTATTTATATATTTTAGTTATTTTTTGGTTATATTTTGGTTAAACATACACTTTTGAAAGGTAATTGTCTTTTTTTGGTGAATAATGCTGCGTGTACAATGTGCGATACAGCTCAAACTCTACGACCAAATCGCAGGGTTCAAAAGTTCACAGCTCACGATTCATGTTCTCACACTATACAAACCACTTCAACAGTGTGAAACCCTCACAAGAGGTGACTGGATTTCAAACAGGTTTGATATTCTTGCGACCTATGTTTGCCGATCAGGAGCTGGTCGTGAGGGATTAATCAGTTCTCGTTACCTCACGTTTACTGCATGAAGCACAACACGATGAAAGCCAAAAGTCGGACCGATCACAAAAACAGTCACATGGCTTAAGAAACAAAAACAAAAGTAGAAATCAGCTGAAGTTGCTGGTTGGATCTGGAAGTAACATCATCACTTCAGTCAGTCAGTTCAGATCCCTCCATCTGAATCTGACATCCAGTCCTCTAAAGCCGTGAAAGCAACTTCTTAACAATCAAAGCAAATCTTTTCCTTTTTTAAAAACAATATTCCTCTGATTCATTTCAACAAAACACTGAAACCACTTTGTGTGTGTGTGTGTGTGTGTGTCTTGTGTGTGTCTTGTGTGTGTGCAGTTGGGGGCATGGCGGGAGTGAAGCGTCCAGCAGAGGGAGCCACAGAGCAGCAGCCCGCGGGGAAGAAGAACACGCCAGTGTCCGCCAAAGTGTTCCCCCCGACTGGGCCGGCCAAGGAGAACCTGCCCCCCTCTGGTCCCCGGGACACCCACAGACAAGTGAGACCGGTAAGACAGGTGAGACAGGTAAGACAGGTGAGACAGGTAAGACAGGTGAGACAGGTGAGGCCGAGGAGAACCCGCCCCCCTCTGGTCACCTCCACTCCAACAGACAGGTGAGACAGGTGAGAGTAGATGGAGCGTCAGGTGAGAGGGAGTGACAGGTGAGAGGGAGTGACAGGTGAGAGGGAGTGACAGGTGAGAGGGACTGACAGGTGAGAGGGAGTGACAGGTGAGAGGAGGACAGATGAGAGGGAGTGACAGGTGAGAGGGAGTGACAGGTGACAGGGAGTGACAGGTGAGAGGGAGTGACAGGTGAGAGGGAGTGACAGGTGAGAGGGAGTGACAGGTGAGAGCAGGACAGGTGAGAGGGAGTGACAGGTGAGAGGGAGTGACAGGTGAGAGGGAGTGACAGGTGAGAGCAGGACAGGTGAGAGGGAGTGACAGGTGAGAGGGAGTGACAGGTGAGAGGAGGACAGGTGAGAGGGAGTGACAGGTGAGAGGAGGACAGATGAGAGGGAGTGACAGGTGAGAGGGAGTGACAGGTGAGAAGCAGGACAGGTGTGTATGAACGTTCCACACATGAACATATGGAGGCTGTGTTGCTCAGAGGCAGGTGTGAGTCACTTGCTTGTCTCCATGGAGACTGCAGGTGTTTATACAGTAGTGTACACAGTGCTCCTTTAAACCAGAGGCCTGTTTTATTATAGATGAAGATGATAAGAGCAGACTTTGGTCTCTGTGTCACACTCAACCTGGACTCTCCGCTGCTAAAAAGCTGGGCCAAAATGTAAGATATAAACACTTAAATCTTTAAGAAAATGACTCAAAAGTAGTGAAATGATTTGCCCACGCAGCAAGATCATTTTACTGGACAAGTTCTCTTAAAATAAACGACCTCTAGCCTAGAGTGAAGCATCTCAGAACTAGTAAGTAGATAATAAATCTGAAAAAAAAGATGAATAACCTGATATAAATTTTAAAATCTTGGCCAGATCAGAGACATTTGCAGTCTCCAAACTGAAAGCAGAAGAAAGAGGGTGGGAGTTTATAAGTTTATACTTGTTCCTGCTCCATTTTGAGCATAATTATACAACAGCACAACATGTACAATCATAATCTCATGTTCATATCACAAGAGACCATGTTGTTCATATAAAATAAGTGAACTGAAGTGAGGAAATACTTACACAAATGTGTTGCTACACTTGGAGGTGTGTAATGTGACAAGACTCCATACAGTGAGTGTGTGTGTGTGTGTGTGTGTGTACGTGCATGTGTGTGTCTTAGTAACCGCTCCTCTGTGTGTGTGTGTACGTGCGTGCGTGTGTGTGTGTGTGTGTGGGTACACGTGCGTGTGTGTGTGTGTACGTGCGTGCGTGTGTGTGCGTGTGTGTGTGTGTGCGTGTGCGTGCGTGCGTGCGTGTGTGTGTGTGGGTACACGTGCGTGTGTGTGTGTGTACACGTGCGTGTGTGTGTGTCTTCGTAACCGCTCCTGTGTGTGTGTGTGTGTGTACAGAACGTCCCAGCAGAGCGCCCCCCTCAGACCGGTACCCTCAGCAACAAGTGTGTGTCCTGCAACAAGCATGTCCACCTGGTGCAGCGCCACCTGGTGGACGGGAAGCTCTACCACCGCAACTGTGCCAAGTAAGAACATGTGTGACTTCTCTTCTATGTGTAACGTTGTTTAGTGCAGAAGAGACTTGATAAGACCTGATCAGTATCAAGGCTTTGTCCTTTCCTCTTATTCCACTTCCTTTAAGTGCATCAGACAGATCAGACGTCTCATTTCACTCAAACATCGTTAAAGTCATTACATTGAAGACTTAAATACAAATCAAAGTCTTTCCTACTTTTGTAATTTTGATAAAGTCTATAATTTTTCTTCCTGGTTGGACACAGGCAGCTGATGGGAGTTCTGATTAGACCAGGGGTGGGCAACTCTTTTTCCAAGGGGCCACATGAGAAACAGAAAATATTGTGGAAGCCAAAATGCTGAACTCAATTCTGCATAATATGAATTGTATTTTTTTATAAAAAGCAGTAAATATCATTATTTTAATGAGCTGGTTGGACTGGTAAGAGTTTATTTTATGACTGAACAATGAAAAAGTGAGGTTGCCTTTAAAAAAAGTCATTTAAAAAACACCTCTAAAATAAAAGCAGTGCAGCTTTAATCCATGCATGAGGTAAATTATAAAATATGTTTATTTTGTAATTCCAAATGATCTTAAGTGAGCCGATCATTGTCAACCAAAGGCCGAAGCTGGACAATGCCCACATCTGGATATGACCAATCTAAATAAATGACCGCACCATTATGTTGTTAAATCAGTGTTTAAAGTATCAGGAAAAATCCTTCCTTATGTGTAAATGGTCTTGGGGTTCTGTTTTAATACTCACCACTACTTCCTGTATTTTTAGTTTAGTTTAGTTTAGTTTTGTACGTTTTGTTTTCTGCTTTTCTTCACAAACTGCCTCATAACTGATGTAAAACTATGATAACTACTGACCACAGGTACTATCACCAAACCAAGTCAGAATTAATTCTCAACTATTCTCTTGTCAATTCCAAATCAATAATGTGTCTAGTTTTCTGAAAGGAGCCAGTTTAAAAATATAGGCCACATATCACTAAAACTACAGTGCATCCCGTTTGATTTTTTATTTAATTTTTTTCCTCAGAACTCTAACTGGAAGTGCCTTCAGTACAGACCTGCCCAAAAACTCCTCTTTATCCAGACCAGCTCCTGACCCAGACCCCGTGAAGACCGGCTTGAGACCTGTTCCCTCCTGGCTGTCGCACAAACCCAGCACTCCCTCTAGTGTCTCCTCCAGCACATCACACCCACAGCCTGCTCCCTCTGCTCCTGCCTCCTCCAAATTGGCCTCTCCTTCTATTCTTCCTCCAAGGACCTCCGCACCGTCTACAACCAACATCTCCAGTACCTCATCTCCTCCACGGCCTGCTGACCCTGCACCTGTCTACTCTTCCAAATTTAGCACTCCATCTATATCTCCCCCAAAGACCACAGAAACTTCTAGAATAAACATCTCCAGTAGATCATCTTCTCCAAGGCCCACTAACTCTGCTCTTGCCCCCTCCTCAAAATTTAGCACGCCTTCTAGATCTCCTCCGAGGACCTCAGAAGTTTCTAAAATAAACATCCCCAGTAGATCATCTTCTCCACGGCCCACTAACTCTGCTCTTGCCCCCTTGTCAAAATTTAGCACCCCTTCTAGATCTCCTCCAAGGACCACAGAAGCTTCTAGAATAAACATCTCCAGTAAGTCATCTTCTCCACAACCAGCAACCTCCACGAAAACCACTAGTGTTTTCCCATCCCGCTTTTCTCCATCTACTCCAGCCAGCATCTCCAAATTGGACCCAAAAACAGAATCTATGATCACCACGGAGTCTACAGCTCCGACTCCTACGCCTAGGACCTCCATCGCCTCCAAAAATCTCCAGGCCAAACTCAAGTTCTTCCAATCTAATGATGCAGAAGGCAATAGAGAGGAGAAAGGAGGTAGGACCAGTGTTGTCCCAATCCATGTCCATGGTCCATGGGTGTCTAGTCTATGTGCTCTTCTACTTGTTTAGTCCTATTTTAGTCCTCCTGGTTCAGTCCTGGTTTAGTCCTGGTTTAGTCCTGGTTCAGTCCTCCTGGATTAGTCCTGGTTCAGTCCTGGTTTAGTCGTGGTATTTAGTATCATAGACCTACAAAATAAAATCTTACTTTTGAAATGTTATTCCTGCTCTTTCGTCTTTTTATTCCACTTGTTTGCACATTTGTATTCAGCACAAAAGTCCAGCATCTTCACTCACTGATACTGTTAAATCCTTTACCTTAGACCAGAGAGGCTGAACACAAGATCTACTGTTCTGTATCTATGGCTGGTATCGATAGTTTAGAGGTTCAATATTATGCAAAATGGGCTCTTGTGAGTTTTAAGCCATGTTATATAAAAAAATGCCTGGAGTTATGTTTTGTTTGATTTGTTTTTCGTACTTTGGACAGCCCCAGGTAGGAACCAGCCTGCGGTGGTGTTCGGTGGGCAGAAGGAGGAGCAGACAGCCACACACTCCGTCACGGTGGTGGTCCAGGTGGGCGAGAAGAAGAACGAGAAGGATCTGAGAGAGGCCAAGGCGTCGGCTGTAGCCATCATCTCCAAGAAACTGACTGAGGAGAACAACAACACGCCAGCCTGGAGCACCAGCAAAACCAAGTGAGTTCCTCCAGGGTCATTTAGGGGGTGTGGCTTGGAATGTTCCACAGAATGACATGGGTGGACCTGGGGTGGACCTGGGGTGGACCTGAGTTTTTTTTTTCATGCAATAGAGTGACATTTGTCCTTAGCTCCTTGAAACAACAGGAGACCACTGTATGCTCTCCACTCTTCCTACTGGAAACTGAGGAATAAGTTTGGACCACTGCAAAGAGTTTAAATGAACTAGTTCTGTTTAAATGATGCATTAAAAACGACTCTTAATATTATAAATGGAAATGAGATATGTTTAAAACCATACTGTGGATTGAAATGAACAGTCTGATGCGATCGTTTTTACTGAGGACATTTGTCATTTGCTCGTGTGATTCCAGAGCTGTCTCTCTCCACAGACCCAGCTCAGAGGCCCCGAAGAAGGAAGGGGAGGGGGTCAGGGGGAGGGTCCGGCTGCGGGCCAACCCCGCCCTGCTGTCGGACCTGACCACCAGCTCGTCCCTGGACCCCAAGAGCACTCCGGCTGAGAGGAGCACCCCGGCTGACAAGAGCACACCCTCAGACTTCAGAGGGGCTCCTAAACCAAGGAACACCTCCCCACCTCCTTCAGGCTCGTACATTTGTTTTTACACTAAATTAACCTTTTAATGGCAATTTCAGTGTAAACTAGAAAAACAGGGTGTGCCAAAAACTTTCACATCATTTCACAGTACAATAACATTGGCAATTCTTGTTGAAATAACCTCAAATTTTTACAGAATGTATCGAAACATTTTGTGTCTTGGAATCTGCTGCACACACACCCAAGACTGTGCAGCTTCAATGCAACATTGGGAAAAAAAAATCACCAACTGGCAAATAAATTCAGTCTTCATACCAAAAATGTAAAGAGGAAGGCTGCTTATGCAGGACTAAGGGATTACATACAGAACGTGTGCAGCAGATTCCAAGAAGCAAAATGACTTCTCTTTGGGAGTGAACGGCTCAACCTGAAAACAGAACAAAAATAAAACATTAAATATAAAATCTTGATTTGTTTCTAAACATTCTGTGAAATTTTGAGGTTATTTCAACAAGAATTGCCAAAATTATCAGCCTGCGAAATGATGTCAAAGTTTTTGGGACACCCTGTATTTGCAGTTTTCTTGTCAAAGCCAGTGAGTGCTGTGATTTTCAAGTACTATGTGACATTACACAGGACTGCCCTGATTATGGCCAGGTTTCTGATTTTGAACAAATGAGCAAGAGTGTGATTGGTCTAACAGGTATCCACACTTAAAACTTCGCCTGCGCAGCCACATGACTGTAAGCAGGGCAGACCTGTGTGATGTCACATAGTACTTGAAATTGAAGTGTTATTTTTGATCAGAAAGCTGCCAGTTAAAAACAGTCAATGCTAGAGAGTGCTATTCAAACACTGTACGTGCAGTAATGAACATAGTGTTTGTTTCTGGTTTAAGTTCAAACATTTCAGTATCAGTATGTGCAAGTATAAATTAAAATAGCTTGAAATGTGAATAAATTAAGGCAAAATGACAGAAATAACTCATTATTTCTTTTCTTCATATTGACTGATCACATTTATTTATTTCATTTGATTTTGATTGGATTAAAAATAATAATAATAAAACATCCAGTGTGTCTGCTCCACTCGTGTTGACAGACAGAGGCTGTGGAGCTTCATTCAGAACAGTTCTCTTCAGTCAAACATGATGACCTGCCCAGGCCCAGAATAACTCTGTCTGTCCTCGTCCACAGGTCCACACAAAGAGTCCCCGTCTGACTGGAGAACCCACCTCAAACCTGTGTCCAAAGAGTCCACAGAGCCCAGGTCTGTCTCCTGTTCTGTCCACTGTCCAGGGGGACCAGATTTCCAAAATAAAAAACTAGGACTTCCCTGGTTTGCTTTGGTTGGTTAGAATAAAATTGTGAAACGAGTGCATAATTAAGGAAAACGGCACTCAGCACTAATGTGAATCAGTATAGTCACATTTTCTTTGTGGTTTTGTTATTTTTAAGCAGCTTTTCTTTATTTTACCTAAACAAATGACAATTTATGTCTCTCTTTACTGTTGACAGGGATCAAATTGGTCAAAAATAGGGACACCAGAGACATTTCTTATATAAAACTGGGACAAATCAGTGGTTTTAGATAGATCTGCTGGGACAGGGGACACAGGGCTCAAAACTGGGACTGTCCTGGGTAAATAGGGTTGTCTGGTCACACTATGCCTGTCCTCTGTCCTGTCCTATCGTCTCTGGGGTTTATAATTAAGAATAAATCAGCATGACATTGGTTAGTAGTAAAAATTAGAAGATGTTTCCCTCATATCTGGGGACACATGTGTGTCATGGTTATAGAATTTAAAATGCAAACTCCTGCACAGAGTTTCTTTTAAATGATCTGTCACATCAGCTCCTTTTCTAACATGATTCACTCCCCACTGTGACCAGCAGAGGGCACTGACATCTTTTTAAAACTATTAAACTTAAATTCCAAAACGAACTCCAAAATCACCCACCATAATGTGTCTGCTTTAATAAGCCCTGAAGCTATCTGAAGCCCGTCCCCCAGGAGCTTGTCCCCGCTGCTCGTCCAAATGTCCCACAGCCCCGAGGCTCCCAGGGGCCCGGTGGTGTGGACGGAGACATATGTCAGTGCACAGACCCTGTCCCCACATGACCCCGAACAACCAGTCACAACAAGGCCCCCATAATATTACAGTGATGGGACATTTCTGAACCTTATATTCAAGTGAGCGTTGTTCAAAATCAGCTGTAAACATCATAGTTTTCAGAGTGGAGCTTTTACTCTTCTGTGGTGGATTTACTGTAACACAAAACAGATTTACATCACTATGTAACCTTTGATTGTTTTCATCAATCATAAACTTGATTTAAGTATGTTTATCTAAACCAGGGGTGTCCAAACTGTTTTCATCAAGGGCCACATATCTAAACACAGATGAAGCAGAGGGCCGATCGAGGGCCGTAGACTGGTGCTCAGTACAGGGAATAATTGAAATATGTGCATGTTTAACACATTAGAATGAGCTACTAGTCTTTTTTCATGATAAGATCCTTAAAACCACACACTAAATATTAAATATTAGTTTTTATCAAGGTAGATTTTCAAAGAAGTTGCAGTAAAAATGTCATTTTTAATTGATGTAAGGTAATTTGGGCCAATTCACCTGGAAGCCTCAGGGCCAAGAAAAAATTGTCTGGCGGCTGCATTTAGCCCACGGGCCATAGTTTGGACATGCCTGATCTAAACTTTTGCAGAATTTAAAGTATTTTATCTAGAATTTGGCATCTAAGAACTTATTCTCAGGCCATGAACACTCATCATGAACTGGTTTTAAGTCAGTTTATCTCAAACATAGTATCCATAAACTTATTTCCAGCCCATGAACACTGACCAGAGACTGCTTCATTCTGGTCTAGAGGTAGTTTATTTTAAGATAACTTGTAAAGTAAAATGATCTTTCTACATGGACAGATCATTTCACTACTTTTAAGTCATTTTCTGATAGACTCAGGTGTTTACATTTGGGCCAGGCTTTTTTGCAGTGTAGACTCGTGGGTTGAATGTTGCACAGACAGCTAACCATAAGCAGGATTCAAATAGTGCCCAGGAGAGATCACTAGATGACTCAAACATACTTGAATGATCTAATACCTCCTCTTTAACCATAAGATGTTAATGCTCAGGTTGAATTCTCAAAGTTTCCCCTTGTGTGTTTCTCCAGCGCGTCCTCGTCCTCTCAGTCCTCTCTCAAACCCTGGACCAACGGCTCTGGTCTGTCCCAGTCCACAGACCCGACCAGACCCGGACCCAGAGGCCCCGCCCCCGGCACCTCTGCCATGCCCCCACCTCACAAAGGTACTGCAGGGACCAGGGGACAGGGCGCTTTGGGCAGTTCAGACTTAAAAGACCCATATTAGACTATTTTCTGATCTATTTTGTTCTCAGCACAAACACAGCTGGAGTTGTGTTTTGTTTCATTCACACATGTGTAACACACAAACCCTGCGCACTCTGAATTCTTCTCTCAAACTGAAAACACAACTGTCCCACCTTGTGATGTCATTTAGTAATACAGGGAGTCCTCCACTCCACACACCTTCACTAAAATCATTTGGATGATTTCAGCTCTGGAATTGTCAATCTCACTGAACTAAAGGTAAAAGGAGCTGTTCAATCAACCCTACTGCTTCATGACATCACAAGGTGGAACAGAGCATTTTGAACTTTGGAGATGTACACAGACTAATAATAAAGGATTACTGAACCATACGTAAATGAAACAAAACACAACTCAAGGTGTTTTTTTGAGCAGGCAACAACATTCTGACAGGGCTTTAAGTTCACAAGAGTCGGTTGTGTGTAATATAGAGTCTTTAATAACACATTCACAAACCAGACATCTGCATTTTAACATTTAGTGAAACATTTGAACCATACAACCATGTGACCCCTCTGTGTATCATGTGTGTGTCCTTTGTGTGCAGGCTTCAGCTATGTTCCCACACAGCCCACAGCCCCGGAGCTCTCCAACAGACGCAAGGTATGTCCACAGTCCTCTGCTCGCGTCACACACAAGTCCTCATCTATGACACCTGGAGCTTTATATTTTGATGCTGGATGTGAGCGTAGCGCGAGTGTCCCATTCCAAACACACAGACCACAGGCCTCTGTACTTGTATTTGTGCTGTTAGCATCAACATAACGTGGTCCAGAACAGTAATGTGCCGTTTGAAGGAGCTCAGGTTCAGAAAGAACAGGTTGTGTTTTGAAAAGTACTTTTGAAAAGCTGGTGTTTGCTGTGGTCACAGTGAGTAGAGACATGTTCGTGTTTGTTTTCTCTGCTGTGACTGAGAGTCCTTCTGCTGCTCCTCTTAAATCTGTGTTCATGTGGTGTTCAGACCAGAGCAGACTACATCCCCCCAGACGACATCCTGAAGGAGCTGCAGCACATCGAGGACAGTCTCAACGAACTGGAGAAGACCGGAGTGGAACTGGAGCTCAAACTGAGGACCAGTGAGGAGAGTAAGTACACTACACAACCACAGTACACAAAGTACACAAAGTACACAAAGTACACAAAGTACACAAAGTACACACTACACAACAGTACACAGTACACAAAGTACAAAAGTACACAACACAACCACAGTACACAAAGTACACAAGTACACACACACCACAGTACACAAAGTACACACACACTACACAACCACAGTACACAAAGTACACAAAGTACACACACACTACACAACCACAGTACACAAAGTACACACTACACAACCACAGTACACAAAGTACACACTACACACACACACACAGTACACAAAGTACACAAAGTACACACTACACAACCACAGTACACAAAGTACACAAAGTACACAAAGTACACAAAGTACACACTACACAACCACAGTACACAAAGTACACAAAGTACACACTACACAACCACAGTACACAAAGTACACAAAGTACACACTACACAACCACAGTACACACAAAAGTACACACTACACAACCACAGTACACAAAGTACACACTACACAACACACACACAAGTACACAAAGTACACACTACACAACCACAGTACACACAAGTACACAAAGTACACACTACACAACCACAGTACACAAAGTACACAAAGTACACACTACACAACCACAGTACACAAAGTACACACTACACAACCACAGTACACAAAGTACACACACTACACACAACACAGTACACAAAGTACACACTACACAACCACAGTACACAAAGTACACAAAGTACACACTACACAACCACAGTACACAAAGTACACAAAGTACACACTACACAACCACAGTACACAAAGTACACACTACACAACCACAGTACACAAAGTACACAAAGTACACACTACACAACCACAGTACACAAAGTACACAAAGTACACACTACACAACCACAGTACACAAAGTACACACTACACAACCACAGTACACAAAGTACACACTACACAACCACAATACACAAAGTACACACTACACAACCACAGTACACAAAGTACACAAAGTACACACTACACAACCACAGTACACAAAGTACACAAAGTACACACTACACAACCACAGTACACAAATTACACAAAGTACACACTACACAACCACAGTACACAAAATACACACTACACAACCACAGTACACAAAGTACACAAAGTACACAATACATGACCACAGTGCACAAAGTACACAAAGTACACACTACACCACCACAGTACACAAAATACACACTACACAACCACAGTACACAAAGCACACAAAGTACACAAAGTACACAATACATGACCACAGTACACAAAGTACACACTACACCACCACAGTACACAAAGTACACAAAGTACACACTACACAACCACAGTACACAAAGTACACAATACACAACCACAGTACACAAAGTACACACTACACAACCACAGTACACAAAGTACACACTACACAACCACAGTACACAAAGTACACAATACACAACCAGAGAGTACACAAAGTACACAATACACAACCAGAGAGTACACAAAGTACACAATACACAACCAGAGAGTACACAAAGTACATAATACACGACCAGAGAGTACACAAAGTACATAATACACAACCAGAGAGTACACAAAGTACACTGTACACAACCAGAGAGTACACAAAGTACATAATACACGACCAGAGAGTACACAAAGTACACTGTACATAACCACAGTACACAAAGTATACAGTAAACAACCAGAGAGTACACAAAGTACAAAATACACAACAGAGAAGTACACAAAGTAAGCAATACATACACACAACATACACACAACCAGAGGAGAGTACACACAACATACACACAACCAGAGGAGAGTACACACAACATACACACAACCAGAGGAGAGTACACACAACATACACACAACCAGAGGAGAGTACACACAACATACACACAACCAGAGGAGAGTACACACAACATACACACAACTAGAGGAGAGTACACACAACATACACACAACCAGAGGAGAGTACACACAACATACACACAACCAGAGGAGAATGGCAAACATCTGTACATGTCAACAACAGTGTGTTGAAAGTGGGTTGTGTGTGAAGGACATTACACATGATCTGTTTCTAGAAAGTCTTTCTCTTTTGACTAAAGAAGTGCTAAAAGTTTTTTTTTGTGTGTGTGTGCGTCAGACGGAGAGGACGAGAGTGTGATGAACGAGCTGATGGTGGACTGGTTCACTCTGATCAGGAACAAGCAGGTGGCCATGCGCCGTGAGTCTGAGCTCGTCTACATGTGAGTGCCACACACACCAACCCTGTGGAGACGGGGAACTGAAGTGTGTTTTATCACTGTAACATGGACTTAAGTCCTTTAAAGACGAGCAGAAACTTGGTTAAAGAGGGTTAGTCTGAGAAGAGATCTGAATGTGCGTGTTTGTGTTCAGAGGGAGGACTCAGGAGCTGGAGGAGGAGCAGCCCACAGTGGAAGAGGAACTGCGCAGACTCTTCAACAAACCAGGTCAGATCTGTCACCAGGGCAACGGGAGGGGCGGAGTCTGAGCTCCAGGGGCGGAGTCTGAGCAGAGGCGTAGACCGGTATTCAGTTTGACTTTCTAACTTTCTGTTGGTTAAATCAACACTTTTGATAAGCCCTGTGAGGCAAGTTGAGTTTGTCAGAGCATGTGGGGTGTGGTTTGAGCAGGTGGACATGTGGTTTAAGGTTTACACAAACTTTACTGATGCACAAGGGAAATGATTTGAGTTTGTCTAAATCTAAATAAACATAAGGGCTTGGCTTGATCATGGAGGGCGTGGCTTAGACATGTGGTTGGTCATAAGCATGTGGGACTTTCTCTCTTAGATCACCTGAAGACCTCATGGGAGCGGCGCAGAGAGGAGGAGCTCATGAAGAAGCTGGTGGAGATCGTCAACAACAGAAATGAGATCGTGGAGGGACTGGATGAGGACCGCCTCAGGTCAGAGCTCCTCTGGGTCAGAGCTTTTCAGGGTCCAGGCCTTCAGTAGATCTAAGAAAGCTGAAAAACAGGGAAGCAGAGGATCAGAATCAGGGAGAAAGGATGTAACTATTCCTTACATGGCTCATGTTTCAGAAAAACTATAGAGGATTTTCAGACATGAGATCCCAGACTATTTCAAACCTGCAAACACTTTAAGACAGAAACTGGTCCACCCAAACGACAAAACACCGAGCCACAAACAGTGTGCTCTACTCCATTCAGTGTAGTGAAGACTGCAGTGAACGCTGCACTGGAGAAACTAAACAGACACTTCACAAGAGGATGAACCAACACAGACGAGAGAGCAGCAGTGGACCTCAGTCTGTCGTACATCTCCATCTAAAAGGACCTCAGTCTGTCGTACATCTCCATCTAAAAGGACCTCAGCCTGTCGTACATCTCCATCTAAAAGGACCTCAGTCTGTCGTACATCTCCATCTAAAAGGACCTCAGCCTGTCGTACATCTCCATCTAAAAGGACCTCAGCCTGTCGTACATCTCCATCTAAAAGGACCTCAGTCTGTCGTACATCTCCATCTAAAAGGACCTCAGCCTGTTGTACATCTCCATCTAAAAGCCTTGGGCCTCTTCTTTGAGTATAGTGAGATACAGATCTGAGCCAGAGAAAAGAACAGGGTTGAGGGGAATTAAAGAGGCTGTTTTGTTAGGAAAGAACTCTCCTATTTACAGCTCCATCCTTGACCTAAATCAAAACAAAGAATAGGAAAAAAAAGTGATGGTCTGTGTGCTCAGAGGTGTGAAAGCTCCAGGGGCCTGAATGATTCTGCTAGTATGACTCTGGCACAGTTCACACTTAGTGCAGTTTAATAGATCCATCCTACAAACAGAAACTGTAGTGTGTGTGTTAGTTTCAGAGTAGTTTCAGTGTAGTTGGCTCCTCCCTTCAGGCAGATATAAGGAAGTGTCCTCCAGCTACTATACTTTTATTTGTAGATATATTTATATACACTACAACAGTGTAGTGAAGTAGAAAGTAGAAAAACCTGCTCTAAAATGTAGTGAAGTAAAAGTAAAAAGTATACACTTTAAAATGTACTTAAGTACAGTATGTTCCAGCACTGTTGCTGCACATGACCTGATCATGTACATGATAATCACATAAAGTGTGTGTTGTGAGCTCATGTGCTGCTTTGTGTTTTCAGAGAGAAAGAGGAAGACGAGCAGCTCAGCCAACTGATGGAGAGCTTCAGTGAGTCTCCCGCTTCACACACACACACACACACACACACACACACACACACACACACACACACACACACACACACACACACACACACACACACACACACTACACACACTCAACACATTCTCCTCACACACACTCCACACACACACTCCACACACTCCTCACACACACACTCCACACACACTCTTCCCACACACTCCTTACGCACACTCCACACACTCCTCACACACACACTCCACACACACTCTTCCCACACACTCCTTACGCACACTCCACACACTCCTCACACACACACTCCACACACACTCTTCCCACACACTCCTTACGCACACTCCACACACACTCTTCCCACACACTCCTTACGCACACTCCACACACACACACTCCACACACTCCTCACACACACACTCCACACACACTCTTCCCACACACTCCTTACGCACACTCCACACACACACACTCCACACACTCCTCACACACACACTCCACACACACTCTTCCCACACACTCCTTACGCACACTCCACACACACTCTTCCCACACACTCCTTACGCACACTCCACACACACACACTCCACACACTCCTCACACACACACTCTTCCCACACACTCCTCACACACACACACTCCACACACACTCTTCCCACACACTCCTTACGCACACTCCACACACACTCTTCCCACACACTCCTCACACACACACTCCACACACACACTCCTTACGCACACACCACACACACTCTTCCCACACACTCCTTACGCACACTCCACACACACACTCCACACACTCCTCACACACACACTCCACACACACTCTTCCCACACACTCCTCACACACACACTCCACACACACACTCCTTACGCACACTCCACACACTCCTCACACACACACTCCACACACACTCTTCCCACACACTCCTTACGCACACTCCACACACACACACACTCCTCACACACACACACCACTCCACACACACTCTTCCCACACACTCCTTACGCACACTCCACACACACTCTTCCCACACACTCTTCCCACACACTCCTTACGCACACTCCACACACACACACTCCACACACTCCTCACACACACACTCCACACACACTCTTCCCACACACTCCTTACGCACACTCCACACACACACACTCCACACACTCCTCACACACACACTCCACACACACTCTTCCCACACACTCCTTACGCACACTCCACACACACTCTTCCCACACACTCCTTACGCACACTCCACACACACACTCCACACACTCCTCACACACACACTCTTCCCACACACTCCTCACACACACACTCCACACACACTCTTCCCACACACTCCTTACGCACACTCCACACACACTCTTCCCACACACTCCTCACACACACACACACTCCACACACACACTCCTTACGCACACTCCACACACTCCTCACACACACACTCCACACACACTCTTCCCACACACTCCTTACGCACACTCCACACACACACACTCCACACACACACACTCCACACACACTCTTCCCACACACTCCTTACGCACACTCCACACACACTCTTCCCACACACTCCTTACGCACACTCCACACACACACACTCCACACACACTCTTCCCACACACTCCTTACGCACACTCCACACACACACACTCCACACACTCCTCACACACACACTCCACACACACTCTTCCCACACACTCCTCACACACACACTCCACACACACTCTTCCCACACACTCCTCACACACACACACTCCACACACACACTCCTTACGCACACTCCACACACTCCTCACACACACACTCCACACACACTCTTCCCACACACTCCTCACACACACACACTCCACACACACACTCCTTACGCACACTCCACACACTCCTCACACACACTCCACACACACTCTTCCCACACACTCCTTACGCACACTCCTCACACACACACTCCACACACACTCTTCCCACACACTCTTCCCACACACTCCTCACACACACTCCACACACTCTTCACACACACTCCTCACACTCTCCTCACACATTCCACACACACTCCACACACACTCCACACACACTCCTCACACACTCTCCACACACACTCTCCACACACACTCTCCACACACACTCTCCACACACTCCTCACACACTCTCCAGACACACACTCTCCACACCCTCTTCACACACTCTCAACACACACACTCCTCACACACACACTCCACACACTCTCCACACACACCTCACACACTCTCCTCACACATACTCTACTCACACTCCTTCACCTGAACCACTGCTGCACTAAGACCAGGGACATTCTACAGGACTCCTTCAGAGGCACAGTGACAGAGTAGTTAGCACTCACTCCTCACAGTAAGGGGGTTCTGGGTGGAAGTTGACATGTTTTCCCAGAGTCTGGGTTGGTTTCTTCTGGGTGCTTTGGGCCCTCTGCCTTTGGGGCTAATTCCTGTGTCCCTGGTTTAAAGTGATTTAACCAGAAGAGATTAAACCATAAGTGCCTGAAGAGAAGATGACTGACCTGGAGTGGACACAAAAGAGACACAGCACTAGAATATCAAATATAGGATATTATGCTAAATCAACTTCTTGGAGCTTTCTACCACGTTATAATGTTGTTCCCTCATCAAAAACATGTATGAAAAGGTTTACATGTCATCCATGCATGTTTGACTCTCTCTGGGGTACTATTTAAACCCTCCATACAGTTAGCAGTACAAGCCTGTACAAGGCTCCACCCACAAGCCTACGTTAGCCATGCTTCCACACAACAGTTTTCCATAAAAATACAAAAACATGATACAAAACTGTACACAACAACTTGACAAACCTGATGTGATGTGTGGTCGTTTCATTAGTTGGAGCCACCCTTGATGTGTTTTGATCGCCCTCTGCACAGAGCAACATGATGGGAACTCAAAAAAACATCGTGAAACTTATCAATAACAATACTTAGACTTGTTAATATGTTGTTTTTTGAGACTGTAGCATTTTCAGAAAGATTAAAGGTCACATGGTGATCTACATATGTTATGGTTTGCAGTTAATACCCCACAGAAGTCAAATCCCACTCTTTAGACTCCTGCAGGGACTGGCTTACAGATTATATGATTAAGATATATATGATAATATATATTCAGAAACCACGGCAATGACATGATTTAGAATGATTCAGATCAAATGAACCATTTGTGAAGTAAATACCGATGATTTGAATGCTGCATAATACTGTTTCTGTTTGAGTAGTGCCCACTCTCCTCTGAATAGCAGGTTGGCATTTGTGTCTCTCCATTGGAGCGTCAGTGTGATTCTCGTGCTCATCTCTGCAGTGTCCAGTGTTTTTAACATACTTGACTGAGAGTGGACACAACAACTGTGCTGTGCTTTTAGCTAATGGAGAGCGTGCTCTGACAGCGCTGACCCCTGACCCCGCCCGCTCCACCACCGCCAGCTTTGGGCTGTTTGTGGAGGCGCACATTCAAATGTTTGCAAAGTTAGTCCGGTCAGCACGCTTTGATTTGACCATTTAAAATGCTGAAGTGACACTAGCAGAAGATGAGGGACCTCTTAATAAAACAGACCCTTTTAAACTGAAAGCACTGCTCTGGACTGTGGCCAGAATATTAACTAGGAGTCCAAGTCAGTCAGGATAAAACCAGGATTTAGACAGGACTAAACCAGGACTAAACCAGATTTAACCAGGACTTAGCGAGGACAGAACATGGACCCAACTAGGGCTAAAGTAGAACTAAACTAGGACTAAACTAAGGAACTAGTTAAGGAACTAGAGCCAAAAACTGGGACTAAACACGGACTAAAACAGGATTGATCAACAGCGACCAGACCACAATTAAATGAGGACTGAACTTGGACTAGACTCATACTGGTCTCATACTGGTCTCATACTGGACTCATACTGGTCTCATACTGGTCTCATACTGGTCTCATACTGGTCTCATACTGGTCTCATACTGGACTCATACTGGACTCATGCTGGACTCATGCTGGACTCATGCTGGACTCATGCTGGACTCATGCTGGACTCATGCTGGACTCATGCTGGACTCATACTGGACTCATACTGGACTCATACTGGACTCATGCTGGACTCATGCTGGACTCATGCTGGACTCATGCTGGACTCATGCTGGACTCATACTGGACTCATGCTGGACTCATACTGAAGAAGCTACATGTGTGTTGTATTATTATTACAATATGAAATGATACTGACAATAGCGTTGTTCAAGTTCAAGTATTTGTCATACTGTCTAATGTGTGTGAGGGGACACGAGTTCACATACAGTAACCACAGTAACATGCCTCATGTAGTACATGTTTTCTGTTTGTGTGTGCAGACCTGAAGAAGGAAAAGAAGAAGTCCTTTTTATCCCGACTCTTCGGCAAGGACAAATGAGCTCCTATGGGTGCTCCTACAGGTGTTCCTACGGGTGATCCTACAGGTGCTCCTACGGGTGCTTCTACAGGTGTTCCTACGGGTGCTCCTACAGGTGCTCCTACGGGTGGTCCTATGGGTGGTCCTACGGGTGATCCTACAGGTGATCCTTTGGGTGCTCTATGGAAGCTGAAAGGACACTTTGAACTCCTTTGGGTGCTCCTGTTGGTTCTCCTTGTGTGACCCGGGCTTGGCATCAGCTCTCTCTTTGGACCAGAGCCTTAGACTAAGTTTGGGTTCTTCTTTTTTAATGAATCCATTTGACGTTTCTGAAATGTGAAATGAGCCTGAGCTGACGTGGATCAAAACATCACATGTGTCCAGTTTAATGTGCAATAACTTTGAGCTTTCATCATCACCACGACCGAGATCAGATGAACACTACACACGTCCTACACACGTCCTACACACGTCCTACACACGTCCTACACACGTCCTACACACGTCCTACACACGTCCTACACACGTCCTACACACGTCCAGCTAGGACCTGTGGACGAGACCGGGGACGAGATCAGGACGAGATCAGGACGAGATCGGGACGAGATCGGGACGAGACCGGGGACGAGACCGGGGACGAGACCGGGGACGAGACCGGGACGAGACCGGGGACGAGACCGGGGACGAGACCGGGGACGAGACGGGGACGAGACTAGAACTAAACCAGGAACTAGACTAGGGACTAAACTAGGGACTAAACTAGGGACTAAACCAGGGATTAGACAAAGGACTAAACCGGGGACTAGACCAGGGACTAGACCAGGGACTAGACCAGGGACTAGACCAGGGACTAGACCAGGGACTAGACTAGGGACCAGGACAAGGACTAAACCTGGTCTAAACACTGCTTGTTAGTAGCTCGACATGAGGACAAACGTGTCTAAACTCTCTAAATGAGCCAATGAACGGCAGTGGCCCACAGTTTGAGAAACCGTGTCCTCCTCTGTGACACGAGGCAGCTGAGTCAGGTCACTGCACACTTTCACGCACTTATACTGTACTCCTTTGCTCTTACTGTTAAAGCAGCACTACAGAACCTTTGAGACGTTTTTGGATTTGCCACATGCAGTATTTTTAATGGATGGTGCCGCCGTGGTCCATATTGGATCTGAGTGGTGGAGGAATATGATTTGAATGTATGATCTGTGTGTCTGACTTTTGATAATATTTGTAAATTATGCAAAAATATTAAAAGTTTTCACAATAAAATCTGTTTGTGTGAAATCCATTAGAAACGCAGAGATCTGTTTTCATCTCAGATTTGGCTGAAAAAATTTCACAAAGTCTCTGGTTCTATAACCATGGCTTTCAGTATCACCATATATGTATTATTTTTGCACAAAAATATTACAAGAAGGCAGTAACATTAACAAGGAAAAAATTGACACTGACACAGAAGTTACCAAAATACAGTCATCTGGTTTTTGTTCAAAAAATTACATTTTGCTAGAAATTACATTTGGAAAATTCAGTGTGAAAAAAGACCAGTGGAAAATACCAACATACTGGAAAAATCTGCCCATTCTGGTCTCTTTGCCACCTGCATGTAGATCATGTGTATTTGTATCTTGCACACTAAGTGTTCCTAACTACTAATGAACTTCAGAAATCATGTTTGGATCCTGTCATAATCTGCAGTGTCAAGGAGATAATTTCGTGCTCTTCTTCTCTGAACTTCTGGTACTTTAATACAACAGATTCTGTTCTGAAATGGGACCCAACATGGTTCTGTGGATGTTCAGGAGGACACATGAGGGTTCTGTCGTCTCCATTCATGAATCTCACACAGACATCACCATGTTCATCTGAACACTCTGAAATATTCCCAATGAACCACCTGATGTCATAAATACATGCATATATTGACCTGCTGGTACAGAGACAAATCTGCACAATCTCATTTTGTATTTTCAGAAACTGACATTTCATAAATGATCTTGAGATATTCTCATTTCTAATTTACCATTTGACACCAGAATGAAACTGTGGTGTGATCTAGTACCATTCACAGTCTTTGTCTTGCTGTAGCTCTTCTAGTTTGGAAGTAAGTTCATGGTTTGTAATGTCTTTAGAGCTTGTAAAGAAAAACTTTACATTCTTTATGTTTTGTGAGGCTCACTCAAACATCTGGAATGAGGTCAATATTTGATTGTTGTCAGTTGTCTGAAGACTGGTCCTTGCAGCCGAGCCTTTTACTGTGCCACCAAAACCATCACAAACAATGAACCACAAATAATCTCCAACTGTCTTCCCTTATAACAAGCAAATAATGTTTAAGTCTATTAAAGGTAATTGAACCTTTCTGCAGGTGGAAAAGTGCCTAAGCTCCACCAAAAATGACCCGTGAGAATTCATTTTCAAAAATCCCTTTTGAAATGAAAGAAGTTAATAGTAGATGTTTTTATTACTTTAAACTAATCAGAATATGCCAAAGTTTCTCTGGTAAAAATTTGATCTACATCTAACTGTGCCACATGGGGAAGTCAGGCTCCAAAGAAGGGGCCAAAAAGATCACATTTGGTCTGTGACCAGATTTGGGACTCTACACCATCCACATGAAAGCTCAGAAAAGTGTGAGATTTGTGTCAGAAATGGTCATTCTCTCAAATATTCAGGTTCAGCAGTTAGTTTGTAAATATCTGCTTGGAGTAAATAGATATTGGACCTCAAAAATTGAAAAAAATAAAATAAATAAATAAAATAAAATAGTGGCAATCAAATGTGAGATTTTTAATAATAAAGATACCTAATATTTGACAAATTCAGAATCTATGACCAAGAATCTACAATAATTAAAATGTTCATCTTCCTAGCTCTGTTTTTTATGAAGTTCTGGTCTCTCAGACATGTTTATAAATTAAGGTGAGCATGGCCCCAAAATTTCAACAGGCCATAACTCAGGAACAACTCAAGGGATTGAGCTGAAATTTGAGATTCTTTCATTTGGTGATTTTAGAAATTTTTATATTTTTTTCAGCCAAATCTGAGATGGCTCATAGCGGGAGGACAGCTGATTTCATATGGACTGACCCATACTCAAATTTATAGAGTACACTTATCAAAAGGAAATGAAAAGAGGACTAAACCAGGACTAAACCAGAGACTAGACCAGGACTATACCAGGACTAAACCAGAGACTAGACCAGGACTATACCAGGACTAAACCAGGACTAAACCAGGACTAAACCAGAGACTAGACCAGGACTATACCAGGACTAAACCAGAGACTAGACCAGGACTAAACCAGGACTAAACCAGGACTAAACCAGAGACTAGACCAGGACTAAACCAGGACTAAACCAGAGACTAGACCAGGACTAAACCAGAGACTAGACCAGGACTATACCAGGACTAAACCAGAGACTAGACCAGGACTATACCAGGACTAAACCAGGACTAAACCAGGACTAAACCAGAGACTAGACCAGGACTATACCAGGACTAAACCAGAGACTAGACCAGGACTAGACCAGGACTAAACCAGGACTAAACCAGAGACTAGACCAGGACTAAACCAGGACTAAACCAAAGACTAGACCAGGACTAAACCAGGACTGAAACAGGACTAAACCAGGACTAAACCAGAGACTAGACCAGGACTAAACCAGGACTAAACCAGGACTAAACCAGAACTAAACCAGAGACTAGACCATTACTAAACCAGGACTAAACCAAAGACTAGACCAGGACTAATCCAGGACTGAAACAGGACTAAACCAGGACTAAACCAGGACTAAACCAGAACTAAACCAGGACTAAACCAGAGACTAGACCAGGACTAAACCAGGACTAAACCAAAGACTAAACCAGAGACTAGACCAGGACTAAACCAGGATAATATGAGACCCATTTTAACCCATCAGCTGCATTTTAACTGATATTATGACTTTGTTCTGCATAAACCACAAACTGATGGTGCTCGAGTCATGATTTAAGGTTTTTTTTACACTTTTGTTTGATTTCTTTCACAAATACTCTTTTCACTCCACACACGTTACCACATGTGACCAGCAGGGGGCTCTACCTGCACGAGGCACGCGCTCTCTCCGTGCGTTTCTGCAAATAACGGTGGATTTTAACAATGAACACGGTGTTTTATGTGGTGTCTGGGCTTTGGGCACTCTCAAGGTAAATAAAATAAAGTAAATAAAACAAAAAATAAATAAATAAATACATAAGTGAAAGTTATAAAGAAAAAAAAAGTTATTTAACAGAGAATTTGCTGATAAAAATATACAAATTCAGACAGCTTTTATCTGTATATAGATTCTCATATCATTCATATTGTAATGTGGTTGTCTTTTGTGTTTAAAATTTGATGAAAACATAAAATTCTGAAGCAAATTTTTTTATCTGAACTGTTGTGTATTTGAACTGATATATGAACTAAATTCTAGCATGACAAGCCCTCAGTTTGATCATTATTTTACACCATCAGATCTTCATTTATTTAATTAAATGTTCAACCAAATATACACAAAAAATGTTTTTCTCACAACAAATTCACATTTTAAAGTTTTCATAAATGGATTTTTGGTGTGACTTTTTGAGCCGTCTATGCCCAAAACAAAGGAAGATCTGTTGAAATAATTATTGGCCAAAATAGAATTCTTTTTTCAGACATATATTCTTGGCTGTAAAGGATCCAAACTGAAAAGCGTCGCTTTAAGTCACACGTGAGTTTTTGTTTTTGTCATTTCAGATCTCTGGTTTTAACTGGAACAGAACAAAAACTTTCACACTTTAACACAGACCCGACTGGTTTTGAGTACCACCAGGTCTAAACCAGGACTAAACCAGGTCTAAACCAGGTCTAAACCAGGTCTAAACCAGGTCTAAACCAGGTCCAGGTCTAAACCAGGTCTAAACAAACAGGTCTAAACCAGGTAAACCAGGTAAAACCAGGTCTAAACCAGGTCTAAACCAGGACTCTAAACCAGGGACTAAACCAGGTCTAAACCAGGACTAAAAACCAGGTAAACCAGGTCTAAACCAGGTCTAAACCAGGTCTAAACCAGGTCTAAACCAGGACTAAACCAGGTCTAAACCAGGTCTAAACCAGGTAAACCAGGTCTAAACCAGGTCTAAACCAGGTCCAGGTCTAAACCAGGTCTAAACCAGGTCTAAACCAGGTCTAAACCAGGACTAAACCAGGTCTAAACCAGGACTATAACAGGACTATTCCAGGTCTCATCTAGGACTTTCAGATCATTTCCCTTGTGGATCAATACAGTTTGTCTAAATTTAAGTCTAAGTTTAGTCTTAGATTAAATGTGGGTTAGTCCTGGTTTAGACCTGGTGTGACCCCAGAGGCCCCAGTCCGGCCCCAGTCCGGCCCCAGTCCGGCCCCAGTCCGGCCCCAGTCCGGCCCCAGTCCGGCCCCAGTCCGGTCCCGAGGCCTCGGGCGTCTGAACAATCCGGTCCTTGGAGCTACAGTCAGACTAGAGTCAGAACAGTGTACAGAAGGTTTGTGTGTCTGGATGTGTACACGTCTTTTTATTTTACATTTACTTTAAAATAATAAAACAAAATAATGAGACTTACCTTTATCTTTAAAAATAAAAATAAAAAACAGACACTAAAATTCAGCCTATACATTAATACAAAATGTAAACAAAAAATAAATAAATAAAATAAAATCAATTACAAATATATATTTTAAAATGTTTTGTACATTTTAAATCAGGAATGTCAAACTCAAATTCACAAAGGCCAAAATTAAAAACTAAGTCGTGGGTCAAACTAAATATTTATTGAAAATTTTCAACAACATCTGCATGTTTTCTCTTCTTTCAAGATACATAATGTTAAACCTTTTCTTATTCAAACAAATGTTTAATAATAATTTTGCTTAAACACTGAATCCAGAACAAGCAGAATATAAAATAATAACAACATTTTAAATAAATCATGTCTCTATAGTCTGTCTGTATCCGGTGGGCAGCTTTAATACAGATTTGAAATGATCTCACAGGCCAAATATAAATATATCATGGGCCAAATTTGGCCCCCAGGCCTGAGTTTGACATTCACATCACTAGGCCTGTGTAATGTACACTCCTGTGTACTTATACTTATACTTATACTTATACTTATACTTATACTTATACTTATACTCTGCTATAATAATATTATAAAGTCAGATGCCCTTCCTTACTCCAGATACTATATCAACACTATAACAAGTGACATAAATGTTTAATAACAAA